GCACAGAAGCTCATGATCCAGAGGGAAAAATGGAGATCACATCAGGTAGAGGTGACTCCTGAAGCCAGAGGAAGGAGCTAGGAGCCTCAATATTCATGTGACATCTAATTAAAATTAGCTTTCAAAGCAACCTTGAAGTCCGGCGCTGTGGCTCACGCCTGTAATCCCAGCAGTTTGGGAGGCTAGGACGGGTAGATCACCTGAGATCAGGAGTTTGAGATGAAGCTGGTCAACATGGTGAAACCACATCTCTACTAAAAATACAAAAATTAGCTGGGCCTGGCCGGGCGTGGTGGCTCAAGCCTGTAATCCCAGCACTTTGGGAGGCCGAGACGACGGATCACGAGGTCAGGAGATCGAGACCATCCTGGCTAACATGATGAAACCCCGTCTCTACTAAAAAAATACAAAAAACTAGCCGGGCGAGGTGGCAGGCGCCTGTAGTCCCAGCTACTCGGGAGGCTGAGGCAGGAGAATGGCGTGAACCCAGGAGGCGGAGCTTGCAGTGAGCTGAGATCCGGCCACTGCACTCCAGCCTGAGCGACAGAGCGAGACTCCGTCTCAAAAAAAAACCAAAAAACAAAACAAAAAATTAGCTGGGTGTGGTGACACACACCTGTAGTCCCAGCTATTTGGGAGGCTGAGGCAGGAGAATTCCTTGAACCTGGGAGACGAGGTTGCAGAGAGCTGAGATCGCGCCATTGCACTCCGTCAAAAGCGAAAAAGTGAAACTCCATCTCAAAAAAAAAAAAAAAAAGGCTGGGCCTGGTGGCTCACACCTGTAATCCCAGCACTTTGGGAGGCAGAGGTGGGCAGATAACTTGAGGTCAGGAGTTCAAAACCAGCCTGGCCAACATGGCGAAACCTCGTCTCTACTAAAATACCAAAAAAAAAATCAGCCAGGCATGGTGATGAGCGCCTGTAGTCCCAGCTATTCTGGAGGCTGAGGCACGAGAATCGCCTGAACCCCGGAGGCAGAGGTTGCAGTCAGCTGAGATCACGCCATTGCACTCCAGCCTGGGTGACAGAGTAAGACTCTGTTTCAAAAAAAAAAAAAAAAAAAGGTCAAGTGCGGTGGCTCATGCCTATAATCCCAGCACTTTGGGAGGCCGAGGTGGGTGGATCACAAGGTCAGGAGATCAAGACCATACTGGCTAACACGGTGAAACTCCATCTCTACTAAAAAAAACACAAAAAATTTGCCGGGCATGGTGGCGGGCGCCTGTAGTCCCAGCTACTTGGGACGCTGAGGCAGGAGAATGGCATGAGCCCAGGAGGCAGAGCTTGCAGTGAGCCGAGATCACACCACTGCACTCCAGCCTGGGCAACAGAGCGAGACCCTGTTTCAAAAAAAAAACACCTTGAAAAAAACAAGAGAAAGCTCAAAAGTAGAAAAGTAGAGCCTAGGCCTGGCGCGGTGGCTCAAGCCTGTAATCCCAGCACTTTGGGAGGCCGAGACGGACGGATCACGAGGTCAGGAGATCGAGACCATCCTGGCTAACACGGTGAAACCCCATCTCTACTAAAAAATACAAAAAACTAGCCGGGCGAGGTGGCGGACGCCTGTAGTCCCAGCTACTCGGGAGGCTGAGGCAGGAATGGCGTGAACCCGGGAGGCGGAGTTTGCAGTGAGCTGAGATCCGGCCACTGCACTCCAGCCTGGGCGACAGAGCAAGACTCCGTCTCAAAAAAAAAAAAAAGAAAAAAAAAAAGAAAAGTAGAGCCTCAAGTAAGAAAAAAAGCAGGTTTTGTAGTCCAATTTCATTGTATGTATGGCTCTCCTTGATTTAAACTGTCCCATAATACCTCCTAAAGGCTGAGCTCCTCAGCCTGGCACTCAAGGCTTCCTGTAGCTGGGTCTCACCCTATCTCTGATGAACATTTCATATTTCATCTACTCATGTTTGGCCCCTCCCTCCTTCCTTGTGAAAGAGTAGCTCCTTCCTTTTGGAGAATTGCTCCTCCCTTTGGTCCAGCTGTATGGTTCAGGTACGGCCTATCAATCATAGTATTCCATCCCCCATGACCACAGATGTGAGTGAGTATGCAGCCAAACCTCATCAATCAGACTTGTTCTGAAGAATTTTGAGAATCTGGAACACAGTGAAGATAATTACTCCTCTCTGGTGAGGAAGCTAAGACGCGTTAGCTAGGGATTCTACAGTTCCAGCAAGAGAGAAAAGTAGACTGAAAAAATAAAGTGGGGAGAAGAGGGAGTTAATGCTTAATGGCTACGGAATTCCAAGCTGGGAAAATGACAAAGTTCTGGAGATGGATGGTGGTGATGGCTGCACAATAATATGAATTGATTTAATGTTACCAAACTGTACACTTACATTTGGTTAAAATGGTAGATGTATATAAAATATACATTGTTTAAAATGTATATTTTACCACACACAAAAAAAGCAGCAGCTAGTATGCAGAGAAGCAAAGATGAATGATGGAGTGCAGGATCTGGGGGCTTTCCTGGGTGCAGTTGCTATGGTACATAGGGTTCAAAAGGTTATAGAAGCCAAAAATCACTCCTTTGGCCTAGCCTCATTCAAGTTAGGCTTCTGGTTCTTGCATCCAATGGAGCCATAATACAGAAACTTTCCATTTTCTTTTTTGGTTTTTTCTTTTTCTTTTTTCTTTTCTTTTCTTTTCTTTTTTTTTTTTTTTTTTTTTTTGAGACGCAGTCTCACGCTGTCGCCTAGGCTTAGAGTGCAGTGGCACGATCTTGGCTCACTGCACCCTCTGCCTCCCAGGTTCAAGTGATTCTCGTGCCTTGGCCTCCCAAGTAGCTGGGACTACAGGTGAGTGCTACCACGCCTGGCTAATTTTTGTATTTTTAGTAGAGACAGGGTTTCTGCATGTTGGCCCCGCTGGTCTCGAACCTCCCGACCTCAAGTGACCTGCCCACCTCAGCCTCCCAAAGTGCTGGGATTATGGCGTGAGCCACTGTGCCCGGCCAGAACTTTTCCATTTTCATTTCTCGCTCATGTCCTTTCAAACATTCTCTTCTCCTGTCAACCCTGCTGCTCATACTTCCTCAGACTTAGCCTGTGTTTATACACACTCTGCCTTTCCTCCCTGCTCTCCATGCTTGGAATGTCCTTTCCCCTTCTTATGACTTTGTCAACTCATGTTCATCATTTGAGATCCAGCTCAAAGGGCTCCTCCTCAGGAAAGCCATCCCTGACCACCCTAAGCAGAGCTTGCCATGCCCTCTGTTGGTCTGTCATAGCTTTTTTGTATTTGTCCTCATCACCTGGTATCTCAGTGATCTACCATCTTGTCTGCAACCCCCAGTAGATTATGTTTTTCATATCCATGACCCTGGTAGCTGGCAAAGAGCCTAGCACAAAGTAAGTATAAGAAATCTTTACTGAATGAGTGTACAGATGAGTGAGAATCTTTTTCTCCCTCATGCCATCTCTGAGTCACTACTCAGTTTCCATCAAGAAGAGACACATAAGGAAATGTGGGAGGAATTGCTTTAGTCCCTTTATTCAAGGGTGATAGTCTCAAGAAAGAAGAAAACCCAATCGAATTGGGGCCATTGCAAAGTCTAGTGGCATTTAAGAGAGGTGATTTCCCCCAAAGCACTGATGGTGGCAGCTTTGAACTGAGGCCGAATTTGTTTGGAAGCCAGAGCCAAGACAAGCAAACATTTGGTAGTGTTGAGCCTTCCAGCAAGCTGGGATTCTGACAGCTGTTTCTGTCAGCTACACAAGGAGAAGCATCTAAAATGCATCTGGATCTACCTGCAATTGGGGGTCCCCATATCTTTTAGCACAATCTGACCCAAGAAACCAGGCAGCCCTCTCTCCCACCCTCCATTCCCACCATATATACCTCCTCTAAGGGGGATCTGCAATTGATTAGGACCTTGCACACTGAGAACAGAGTCAAATATGACTATAGAGAACTGTGGCAGAGATGATACTACTGCTTACTAAATGGCTTATGGTTTCTTCCTACATTTCCCAGCTTCCCTTGCAGTTTGTTTTTGTTAGTTTGTTTGTTTGTTTTTAACACAGAGTCTTGCTCTGTTGCCCAGGCTGGAGTGCAGTAGTGTAATCTCTGCTCACTGCAACTTCCACCTCCCGGGTTCAAGCAATTCTCCTGCCTCAGCCTCCTGAATAGCTGGGATTACAGGCGCCCCTACCATGCCCAGCTAACTTTTGTATTTTTAGAGATGGGGTTTCACCATGTTGGCCAGGCTGGTCTCGAACTCCTGACCTCAGGTGATCCACCCACCTCAGCTTCCCAAAGTGCTGGGATTACAGGCGTGAGCCACCGTGCCCGGCCTCCAGCTGTCTTTTTGAGGCAATACTGAAAGCTTTGCATTGAGATGGTGGAGCCCAAGACAGAAGTAGTCTGGATCTCTGAGTTACCCAGGAGAGTTGAGGACAGCTACCCTGGAGAGTGCCTTAACCCATAGCCAGCTTTGCATGAGTGGAAAAGATATACCATTGTTGTGTTATGCCGTTGAGATTTGGCTCGTTTGTTACCATAGTCAAGTCTACCCTATTCTGCCAGATAAATATGGACACTAATTGTTGTTTTAGCCATCCAGCATCAAACCTCCTTCCTATTTAAGGATTAAACTCTCCCCCTCCTTTAGGACTATTTGGTGTTGCCAAATCCAGTGGTCACATCTCTGTTTTTATCTTTCTTGATTTCTCAGCATTTGTCACAATTGACCACTCCCTTCTGGGAACATATTATGTTGGTGTCTGTGACATCATGCCTGCTTAATTTTTCTTTTATGTCACTGGCCCCTGCTTTTCAGTTTTCTTTGTTGGCTCCCCTTCTTGTTTTATGTCAAAAGTTTGAAGTTCTGGAGACCTGGTTTTAAATATCACAGCTGGTTTCCACCTTTTCAGACGGTGTCTTTTTGTGTCACCTAGGCTGAAGTGCAGTGGCACAATCACAGCTCACTGCAGTCTCAACCTCCCAGGCTCAAGCATTCCTCCCACCTCAGTCTCCCAAGCAGCAGGGACTACAGGCACACTCCATCACACCCAGGTAATTTTTCTATTTTTTGTAGAGATGGGGTTTTGCCATGTTGCTCAGGCTGGCCTCAAACTCCTGGGCTTAAGAAATTCACCTGCCTAGGCCTCCCAAAGTGTTGTAATTACAGGTGTGAGCCACAGTGCCTGGCCCATCTTACCATTCCTTATTAATAACAGAACAGTCATTGTTAGCTGGGCACACTGTACCCAGTTAAGAGAATGTTTCCCAGGCTCCCTTGCAGCTGAGTATGGCCATGTGAATATGTTTTGGCCAATGAGATATGAGCAAAAATGTGCGGGACTTCCAAGGCAGTCTTCTTTTTTTTCTTTTCTTTTTTTTTTTTGAGACAGAGTCTCGTTCTGTTGCCCAGGCCGGACAGGCTGGAGTGCAGTGGCACGATCTCGTCTCACTTTAACCTCCGCCTCCCAGGTTCACACCATTCTCCTGCCTCAGCCTCCTGAGAAGCTGGGACTACAGGCACCCGCCACCACGCCCGGCTAATTTTTTGTATTTTTAGTAGAGAGGGGATTTCACCATGTTAGCCAGGATGGCCTCGATCTCCTGACCTCGTGATCTGCCTGCCTCGGCCTCCCAAACTGCTGGGATTACAGGCATGAGCGTGAGCCACCGCGCCCAGCCCCAAGGCAGTCTTCTTAAAAGGAAGAGGATGCATCTTTCTTCCCTTTTTCCTTCCCACTGTTTGGAATATGGACCATAGTGAGGTGACCTTAACATTGGAAGCCAAATACTGAGGATGGCTGAACAGCCCTGAACTGCCTACTTTTGGACTTAAATTTCATGGAAAGAGAGAAATTTCTGGCTGGGTGCAGTGGCTTATGCCTGTAATCCCAGCACTTTGAGAGGCCAAGGTAGGAGGATCACTTGAGCCCAAGAGTTCCAGACCAGCCTAAGCAACACGGGGAGGCCTCATCTCCACGAAAAAAATAAAAACAATAGGCAGGCCTGGTGGCGCACCTGTGCTCCCAGCTACTCCGGAGGCTGGGGTAGGAGGATTGCTTAAGCTTGGGAGGTTGAGGCTGCAGTGAGCTGTGATCACGTCACTGCACTCCAACCTGAGTGACAGAGGAAAACTGTCTCGGGGGAAAAAAAAAAGGATAAATTTCAATCGTAAGCTATTTTTTTCTATTGTTATTTGCAACTGAATGTAATCCTGATACATTCCTGTTGTGGAATCTGTTTGCCTGCCTCCCACTAGGAAGCCTAAGGGTCCAGATCCTCCCCCAGTCAGAGGAATGGGGAACTAGAAAAAGAAAGTCAAAGGCACTGCCAGGCAAGAAAACGCTGGGTCTCCTTCCACAAGTTTGGTTAAGTAAGCAAGATACCAGGAGGATTGAATGGTAAGTAAGCCTAGAAATAGATTATTATATACATAGAGTTTATTAAATAGAGAACACTGCTAGACTAAGAAATTTGGACTTTATTCTGTAAATTCCTTGCAATGGGTGACCTTATCTGTTTCATTTAGTAATGCCTCGCATTTTGCAGAAGCTCAATGAATGTATGTATTCTTCATTAATTACTGATGTCTGCTTAATAAACAGAAATGTTGGAAGGCGAACCAGTTGGGAGTCACCATCTGAACAACCCCTGTGTACTTTTTATAAATAATGTACCTGAACCATCATTTACTGGAAGTGGCAATCAACCTGTGAGGAACCGCAAACGAAAAAGTCCACCTTGAGTGTCGACATGATGGAATTGGGGGCGGAGACGAGGGAGAGCAGCGGGCTAGGATCGCTCACAGCCTCCGCAACATGGCGGCCCTGGAACCAGCTGACCTGCAGGAGGCGGAGCTCCGCCCCAGCTCGCCCGGCCCCACCCCGCTCGGCCCCGCCCAGCGCACCCCTCGACCGGGGCGCGAGGGTTGTGAGGTGTTTGAGCGAAGCGCCTGCGCAGGGCAGCGGCGCGCGGGGCGGAGGCTTTATAACCACTTCGTCGTTGCTGCTCGGCTTCTATCTCCGGGAGGGCGGCTGAGGCGGTGGCGGCGGCGGCCGGGCGCTGGCTGAGGGGCACTGAGGCGGGAGCTGTGGCGGCGCTGGGCGCCCCTGGCCCCTCGGCCTCTGCGGGCCATGGGCTCCGAAAAGGACTCCGAGTCGCCGCGCTCCACATCCCTACATGCGGCCGCGCCCGACCCCAAGTGCCGCAACAGCGGCCGGCGCCGGCGCCTCACCTTCCACAGCGTCTTCTCCGCCTCGGCCCGCGGTCGCCGCTCCCGGGCCAAGCCGCAGGCCGAGCCGCCGCCCCCGGCCGCGCCGCCGCCGCCCGCCCCGGCCCCTGCCGCGGCCCAGGCCCCGCCGCCCGAGGCGGCTCCATCCCTCTTCTGCCTGCCCACCCTCCTCCGCATCTTCCACCTCCTTAATCCCTCCCTCGGCTCGCTCCCTAGCTCGCTCGCCTTCCCGACCGCGCCCTTCTTCATGCCCGACCGCCGCCGCGGCCAGGCCCGCCGCTGCCGCGGCCCAGGCCCCGCCGCCCGAGGCGCTGCCCGCCGAGCCGGCCGCCGAGGCCGAGGTGGAGGCCGCGGCGGCGGCGGCGGCGGAGCCGGGGTTCGACGATGAGGAGACGGCGGAGGGCGGCGGCCCAGGCGCGGAGGAGGTGGAGTGCCCGCTGTGCCTGGTGCGGCTGCCGCCCGAGCTGGCCCCGCGCCTCCTCAGCTGTCCGCACCGCTCGTGCCGGGACTGCCTCCGCCACTACCTGCGCCTGGAGATAAGCGAGAGCAGGGTGCCCATCAGCTGCCCCGAGTGCAGCGAGCGACTCAACCCGCACGACATCCGCTTGCTGCTCGCCGACCCGCCGCTTATGCACAAGTACGAGGAGTTCATGCTGCGTCGCTACCTAGCCTCGGACCCCGACTGCCGCTGGTGCCCGGCCCCGGACTGCGGGTGAGCGCGGGGGCGTGGCGCGGGGGGCGGCGGGCTGCGGCCGAGGGGCGTGGCTGGGGCAGCGGGGACCCCGCGTGGGGCTGGCCTCCAGGGCCGGTCCTTGGCGCTGCGTGTGTGTCCGAAGCAGGGAAACCAGCAAGGCGGCAATTTCGGCGGGGTGGTAACCGGTAACTAACCATCAGGCAAGCCCAGACTAGTAGGGTGAACGCACCCGACACCCCGCCCCCTGCCCCAGGGCTCGAGGTGGCTGCTGAGCATTCGGTGAGGGGAAGGGAGCTGTCCATCAAGTTAGGATACAGGGAGAGGCGGTTTTTTTTGTTGGGGGAATGCCCTCTGTCCAGAGGTGGGGGCAGTATCTCTATTTTTTTTTGCGGGGGGGCGGGTAGACAGAGTCTCGCTCTTTTGCCCAGGCTGGAGTGCAATGGCGCGATCTCGGCTCACTGCAACCTTCGCCTCCCAGGTTCAAGCGATTCTCCTGCCTCAGCCTCCCGAGTAGCTGGGATTACAGGCGCCCGCCACCACGCCCAGCTAATTTCTTTGTATTTTTAGTAGAGATGGGGTTTCACCATGTTGACCAGGCTGGTCTCGAACTGCTGACCTCGGGTGATCTGCCTGCCTCGGCCTCCCAAAGTGTTGGGATTACAGGCGTGAGCCACCGCTCCCAGCCAAGGTGGGGAGTATCTCTCAGTAAGAGCGGGGAAGGGATATTTGGCCAAGGAGGGAATGAGAATATTCTGAGGGGGGCAGCGCATCGGAGGGGTGTGTCTACTTGGCTAGGGGCAGACTTAGCAGCATTGCAGAAGAAGGCGTGTTCTCCCAGAAAGTTGGGATGGAGGTGACCAGGGAATAGGCTCTGGGTTACCCTGAGCACTGTGTGTTCTGTGCCACGTTATCGGGAGGCACTCTGTCGTTCTTACCTTACTGCGTTGGGTAGGGTGAGGGATGGACAGACATGTTCTTTGTCCAGAGACTCAATGGGGCACTGAGAAGAAGAATGTCCAGAGGTTGGTGTGGTAGGATAAATTGTGTTTCTGAACCCCTTTGATCTTGAGTTCTTGATGACAGTCTTTTTAATGCACCATGTATGCTGAATTTTAAAGGGCAGTGAATTAAAATATGCAGTATCTCCAGAGACATAATACACCAGATTTTCCTATCTGAAGCATTCAATGGAGACCCTCCTCGCCCTCCCCACTTTTAGAAGTCTAACTGATTGTTACTGTCGGTATATCCCATGAATGGTTGCACACAGGAAGAGGGGCTCATTTAAGTAGTTGGGAGTCAGCCATTACCTGCTCTGTGACCTTGGGCAGATAATTTTACTCTTGTGTGTCGTATTTTGGCGACAAAAAGATGCTAGGGACTCCTTGCAGTGTGTAAATGTAACGCTAGTAAAAAGTTGTGTGATCTTTAGCTTCAAAGGAGTTAAGGACTTTTAATTGTAGCCTATATATCTAGGTTGTTTTGAGATCTCCATGATCCTGCTGGTTGTCTCCTTTCAAAAGGAGCTGTCTTAGACTGTCTAGAAGGGTAAGAAGAGTTAACTTCTGTTTTTAATTCTGCCAGACTTGTTTAGAAATGGGTGTGTTATTTAACCTCACTGAGATGGGGTTTCTAAATTACTTTGAAGTGTTGTGGTCAAAGGAGTGGTGTTTATGGTGGCTAACTTTCACTTTCAGTTAATGCGTATCAGGAAGGACCTTTTAGGTTCATGGAACTGTTTATGTCTGGTGATCTTACTGGCCCTCTGCAGTTAATTTATATGATATTAAAGTTTTACAGATACTGTTGATCTGTTTTTTTAACCAAACGAATATTAAGAGAACACAGGCCAGGCTCGGTGGCTCACGCCTGTAGTCTTAGCACTCTGGGAGACCAAGGCAGGCGGATCACCTGAGGTCAGAAGCTCGAGACCAGCCTGGCCAACATAGTGAAATCTTGTCTCTACTAAAAATACAAAAATTAGCCGGGGTGGTGGTGCACACCTGTAGTCCCAGCTACCCAGGAGGCTGAGGCAGAATCACTTGAACCCAGGAGGCAGAGGTTGCAGTGAGCCGAGATCAGGCCACTGTACTCCAGCCTGGGTGACAGAGAGAGATTCCGTCTCAAAAAAAAAAAAAACAAAACAAAACAAAAAAAACACCGCATAGTTAATTTTGGAATAGTACATTAACTCGTTTCTGAGATGTTTCCTTGAGTTCTAAGAAATGTGGCAGATCATCTTTCTGGAAAAGGGCCGTTTTTTTAATTTTTCTAAAGTCAGTTTCTGTCTTTGCTCACATCAATAAAAATGCACAGAAAATAATTTTCAAGCTTAGTGACAACTCTCAACTATTTGGAAGTTATTAAAAAATTAGGCCATTTCTTATTTTAGTCAAGTATTACTTTAGTATCGTCCAGATTTTATTTCTTAATTAGTTAAAAGAATGATAATCATATGTATAGTCATATATATAAACTATGTATTTTTAAATATGTATCATCTACAGACTTAAGGTGGAGTTTGGGGAAAGAAAGAAAGCTGGCCTCTCAATACCTGTGCGCCAGGCATATATAATTTAATTTGATCCTCACAACCTTGTGAGATAGGTTTGATATAGTTTTACAAATGAGGAAACCAAAGTTTAAGGAAATTGAATGACTTGTTCAGGGTCATATAACTAGTAAGTGGTGAAACCAGGCTTAGAACAGGGGTCTTAATTCCAACCAAGGCCAATGTTCCTTCCACTCAGCGCCTGTTTTAAAAAGCATTGGCTTATCAACATAGCCCCATTATTGAGGATGCTGCTGCTTGGGTGCATTTCATTAAGTGTAGCCTGAGGACAACATTGAGAAAGCCAAAGATACTAGAGTCTAGTTTCCTTTCTGATTCCTGTTGTTAACAGCCTCCTACCTACCTTATTTTTCTTATCTGAAATAGGCCTAATTCTTTCCTGACTTGAGAGATTTAATTAATGTTTACACAGTGTTTTGAGATCTTCAGTTGAAAGTGGTTACAGGGAGTAACTTTAAAATTCTGTTAGTTGCCAAATAGATGCCTGAGTTCTCCCTTGGGATGTGGCTAGTTGCTTTGCATCTTTGTTTTTTGGGGGGGGACAGGGTTTCGCTCTGTCACCCAAGCTGGAGTGCAGCAGTGGTGCAATCATGGCTCACTGCAGCCTCAACCTCCTGGGCTCAGGTGATCCTCCTGCCTCAGCATCTCAAGTAGCTGGGACCACAGGTGCATGCCACCAAGCCTAGCTTCTTCTTCTTCTTCTTCTTCTTATTATTATTATTATTATTATTATTTGTAGAGACAGAGTCTCCCTGTGTTGTCCAGGCTGGTCTTGAACTCCTGGGCTCAAGCTGTTTTCCCGCCTTGGCCTCCCGAAGTGCTGGGATTATTGCTGCCTCTTTTTAATGCCAGGAAAAAAAATAGCTTCTGTGTTCTTACGGGATGTCATAGTTCCCTTGTTTTGTTTTGAACAGTGTTGTTTTGTTTTGTTTTGTTTTAGAGAGGGAGTCTCAACTCTGTACCCAGGCTGGAGTGCAGTGGCATAATCGTGGCTTACTACAACCTCGAATTCCTTGGCTAAAGCAGTACTCACTCCCACCTTAGCCTCCTGAGTAACTGGGATTATAGGCATGAACCACTGCACGCAGCTTCTTTGTTTTACTTTTTAAACAAATTATTTTATTCTTCTGGGGCTGGTAAAGGTCACGGATAAACATTAGAAGAGAAGTCCAAGTCCCAGTCACCTCCTATTCCCATACTTGACCATCTTTACTGCCCACAGATAAAGTTCTTGCCAGCCAAATTGATCAGGTCTCCCCTCTGCCTTGTTTGTATGTGCATTTGGTAGGGTGAGGGGGGCATGTGAGCAATCTTACAGGTTCTGATCGTTAGTTTTACTGTAATTACTCATAATAACAAGAACACCATGCATTCAGAGATTCATGGTTTGTTTACAGAATATTTGTAGGATAGAGCAAATTTGGATTTTTCTTTTTTTTTTTTTTGAGACGGAGTCTCGCTCTGTTACCCAGGCTGGAGTTCAGTGGCGTGATCTCGGCTCACTGCAAGCTCCGCCTCCCGGGTTCATGCCATTCTCCTGCCTCAGCCTCCCGAGTAGCTGGGACTACAGGCGCCCGCCACCACGCCCGGCTAATTTTTTGTATTTTTTTAGTAGAGACGGGGTTTCACTGTGTTAGCCAGGATGGTCTCGATCTCCTGACCTCGTGATCCCCCCGCCTCAGCCTCCCAAAGTGCTGGGATTACAGGCATGAGCCACCGCGCCCGGCCGGATTTTTCTTTTCTTATACTCAAATATGATTTTATTTTATTCATAAATAAGGGAACCAATTTCAGTGGGAAAACATTCACATTATGATTTCTTTTTTTTTTTTTCTGAGATGGAGTCTCACTCTGTTGCCCAGGCTGGAGTGCAGTGGCGTCATCTCCGCTCACTGCAAGCTCCACCTCCCGGGTTTGTGCCATTTTCCTGCCTCAGCCTCCCAAGTAGCTGGGACTACAGGCGCCTGCCACCACCCAGCTAATTTTTTTATTTTTTTGTTTTTTGTATTTTTAGTAGAGATGGGGTTTCACCTTATTAGCCAGGATGGTCTCTATCTCCTGACCTCGTGATCCGCCCACTTTGGCCTCTCAAAGTGCTGGGATTACAGGCGTGAGCCACCGTACCCAGCCTCACATTATTATTTAATATACTAAGAACAATATGGCCTAGTATAATCTTAAAACAAGCTGTCAAATGAGATAAAATTAGTTCAAAATACAAATAACTGATTTTTTATAGTTCTTTATAATCTTCAGACTATAATCTCATTCAGACATAATTTCATTTTAGTCTCATCCAGGTAGATGTTGACAAATGCATTTTATATACGAGAAACCAGTTCAGAGAAGTTTAAATATGGGGCCTGGTGTTTCATTGCTAATAATTGATGTAGTTGATCTTTTACCCTTTTGAGTCTCTGCCCAAGTATGTCTCTTCAGAAACCCC